ACCGGGTTTAACGAGCTCCGACCGCTTTGTTCTCAGAGGCAGGGTCTCTCTCTCTCTCTCTCTCTCTCTCTCTCTCTCTCTCTCTCTCTCTCTCTCTCTCTCTCATCTCTATTCTGGGCCACCTCGCTCTATATTTAACATCTTTTCTGATGGATGAAGGCTGACTTCCACTCTCACACAAGCAGTCAGGAGGAAACCAATGAAAGTTTAATAGAGAAGTGGCGGCTTGTATTGTGGCATGTAGTGATAAATTCAGCACATGCACACAGGCAGCCAGCGATCAGCTGACGGATTTGTACGTATGTCACATGGAGTCATGAAAACATTTCCTCAGTGTGCTGATTTCTGCCACTGTTAGCTGAGTTTATTTAGTGACACAAACAAGAGTAGCATGTCAGACTTCGAGCTGCTGTTTTGACATTCTCTTCAGTACAAAGATTGATCGCATGTGTTAGAGTCTGAATACAAACACACAACATCTGCTTCTTGATCTTTCACTAAAAAAAAGTGGTTCTAAAACCTTATAAAATGTGTGCTTTGTTTCCCTGTTAGCTCTTTTCCATTATAGGAAAGGTTTACATCATGTTTCATTGTTCGCCTGTCTTTTTTTATATATTTTTTTGCATTATAATGACCAAGTAATATTATTATTATTACTGTTGTTCTTTTGCCAAATCACAATCAATATATTTACATAGCAAAACAGATTTTAAAAAGTTCAGTAGATGCAATTGGAAAATATTATTTAGAAATATATTTGATCTCTATTATCCTGATGAGGAAATGTCTTGTTTGAGTAAAAAAAATAATAAAAGTCAGGGTAGTGGAGCTCCACAAAGACTCCTATCTCCGATAGGATTTCAAACAGGGCCATTCAGTGAACAGAAGAGGAGTTTTAACAATGAATTGAACTTCCTGTGTTGTTTTTGAGTCTGCCTGTGGTTTAGCAATGGCAGGAAGTGAATGAAGCCAGTCCGTGTTGACAAGGCTTCCAAATTTAATTAAATGTGTCTCACAAAGCATGCAGCGCTCATTTACAACCATCTCATTCAGCTTGGTACTTCTCTCTTCCCAGTAGGGGATGGTTGTTTACAGCACACGCAATTTCTGGTTAGCTTCTTAGCTTAGCTTCCTTCAGCATTGAGCTGGTGCACTACAAACGTCACAGCTAAAAGTGAGCTTTTGGGTAAAATCAGATCCAGTTGTTTTAAACTTCAGTAGAGTCCATGCCTCCAGCAAGCAATTGTTTCTCAATAGCCGATAATCCAGACCTTCTGTATTCAAAGCAAAGCATAGAACAAGGGGCTGGTTTTTACCAGGCTAAGTATATTCATTCGTTTTACAACTTCCTTAGATAAACAATCACTTTATATTTGACATTTGGTCACAAATTTTGCTTATAGTTTTCTTTTTTATTTTATAAACACCATAGTGTGTCACATTGTTGATATAATATGATGTTTTGTTTTGTTTTTTCCTCATCTTCCCTTGTGTGGTTTTTAGTTTTTCTGTTGTTAAAGGTAGCGCAACTGTGTTTGCTGCATGACCTGTTTCACCTGTTCCCCCATGTTTGTCTTGTATGTCTTCTTGAATGGGTGTTTCTTAACTGCCCCCTCCCCCTCCCCAGAATGTACAGCACCTTGTGAATTTATTTCTGTGAAAGGTGCTATATAAATAAAACTTTACTTTACTTTACAAAATTTATATGAAAAAAAATATTGTGCAAATTAAATTACTAACATTGCTTTTGCAATGAGTGCCTTTAACAAGAATATAGTAACATAGCATTAATGTACAGACATGTGCATCATGTTCATAATGTGCAAAATGAATTAGATTTTACAAACTTTCAATGGGTAAGAAAGCCATTTTAAAAATCTTTTCCACTATTTCTGGATGACAACTTCATCCTGACAGAAAAAAAAATTGTTGCTGTTGCTGAAGATTTATGACAGAGTCAACCGAACCTGGTCTAGACTGAGAAACACTGTTTCTTTCATTGATGAAATGATAGAGTTAAGTATCTGAGCTCTAAAATGCAAAGCTTGTTCGAAGTCTATATTTGGATCATGTCTAGGTTTTATCAGTTTCAAAGGTAGCAGGGTAATAAATCAAGCCTAATTTTAAACCTGACATAAATAGTAATGTGGCTGTCTCTTTCAGAGTAATGATGTGGAGGGCAGCACCTGGAACTGGATGTATTACATCCCCCTCATCATCATTGGCTCCTTCTTCATGCTCAACCTGGTGCTGGGTGTACTCTCAGGGTAAAATCCTCCATCCTTCTGTCTGTAAAACACGTTCCCACCTTTCTGGATAATCCAGCACACTCCTGTAACATGCACTTTTCACATGGTAACAACACAATGAGCTGAACAAAACAGGACGTGTTAGTTAGTTAGTTAGTTAGTTAGTTAGTTAGTTAGTTAGTTAGTTAGTTAGTTAGTTAGTTAGTTAGTTAGTTAGTTAGTTAGTTAGTTAGTTAGNCATCAGTGGAACTCCTTCATCCCAATCGTTTCCAGTCTCCAAGCAGTATTTCTGCAACATAGCCTTGAATGTCTGGTGCCAGCGTTCTAAGGCTCCTTGTGACTCAGGATGATAAGCACTTGACACAACATGTTTAATCCCAAGAGTCTGCATGACCTGCTTGAAAAGTTTAGATAGAAAGTTGGTTCCT